GAAAGCCTGAGAGAATGTTTTCTCTCCATGTGACTCTCCTTAGGCACACTCTACATCATCGATCACTTTCCTCTTTGGCCCCATAGAAAAGTTGGACTGGAAATCCCATTTAAACCAGCTATTCCTCTACTGGGATTTTTCCCGGAGGATCTAAAAACATCATATGATAGGGATATATGTGTGCCTATGTTTATAGCAGCACAATTTGTGATAGCCAAATCTTGGAAACAACCAAGATGCCCATCACCTGAGGAATGGTTGTTTATGCTTAATGTTTAGTCTACACTATAATATTTTAGTTCTTTTTGCCTTTAAAGGCTTTTGGTTCAATCAGTATCATTCTTTCCATGGATTATTGCAACTCTCCTATTTGGCGCTTGGCTAAGTATATACTGCAGTAATGAAAATCAAAGTCAGATTAGGCATTAGAAGGCATCACATCATGTTTTTGTTATCTGGCAAAGATAGAAATTATCTAGAAATTGTCTTTGGCTAGTATCCTTGTGTCCGAAAATATATACCTTTTCTTTTTCGCAATTATTTTCGTATCCTTTTTTACCCTTTCTCACTCTAGATATCCTACTTAGTAAGGCTCTTTTTGATCTTGTCTGAACTACTCCAAAAACCTTTCTGCTTTTCTGCTTCCCTTCTAGCTTCTTCCTTGCTATGTAAGTTCATCCTGCACAAAAATTTTATAAGGCATCTTTTTGAAATGTTGACCATAATGCTAGTTTTCTAGACCAGCATAAGTTTAGACTGCTTACTGCAGATGATTTTAAGCACTGCTGAGCATAGTGTTCTAGCCATGAGAACTGGAACTCTTGCAAAACCTTATTGCTTAGTACTCTACCTTTCCAAAGCCTCAGATGAATTGGAATAGTTTCAGGCATTGTCTTTCTGACTCCCAGCCTTGTGCTTCCCACTCCCATGCTTTTTATTCACATGGTTCCATTCCTTAGCTTCCACTTTTTCCATGCTCAACCCATTCTTCAAGAACAGCTCAAGTCCCAGATGTTTGTGCAATAGCTTTTCTCCCAGCGTGGTACGCTTTTTACTCTGCTGTATTTCAAAAGTAAGTATAATTTTAACTTATCTTTCAACTCTTTTCTAATTACCCCAACATTCAATTCTTTCAGAAAGGTAACTCTGGGTCCATTAGGTACCAAAACATTGAGCCCTAGGGATCATGGTTGGATAATATACAGCTCCTAATAGCCATTGTCATATACTCACTTCTCCTTATAAGCTCCTACTGTAGTTACTGTCCAGAGTACTGTCTGTCAATAATCTGATGCCACAGGAAATTTTTGAATTGACATTTAAGTTTCTCTGACTTAACTTTTAAAAAATGGCTGATCTTCCTTTGTTAGATTGCATAGTTTTTCCCCAAAGTCACTAGTTTATCAAGAATGGAGTGGCATTTATTTAATAGGCACTGAGGTGCTATTTTTACTAGTGCTTCTCATGTTGGTGGTTGTAGTCAGGGTTTGCAAGGAAAAGTTTAATACATAACACATAATTTATAGGATTGTTTTATAGAGTCACCCAAAGAGTCAAATACAAAGGAGGGTAGGAAATCTGTGCACATACTAAAGACCCAAAGAATCCAGCCGAGGGCCTGGATTTATCAGCAATGTACTACATGAGTTCATCTGGAGGCCTAGAGCCCACAAGAATGTCTCAGGCAAATCTGCCGCAAGGATGTGTGCTAGAAAGGAACAAAGGTGAGTGCTGGAAGCTAGAAAGTCTGTGGGAGTTGGATGAAGTATCTGAGCCAGCAGGCTGAGGGATCTGCACTAGAATCAGGAAGTGACACTCAAAGGACCAGAACTCCTCTGAAAAGTACCACAACCATTCTAAGTGACAACTAAGTCCCAAGCTCTTCCAACGAAGAGAACAGCTGAGCTCATATCAGGAAAGCCAGCACAACAATTTCCTCCAAGAGAATGAACAGGGTATTGTCTTTCTTGAGAGCCAGGAGTCTACGCTCAAAGTAAGGCCTTGGTCATTGTCAGAGACAACAAGGTCCTGAGTTTCTCTATCAGAACAGCCAAATTCACATGAGGAAAGCCAGTGTGACAAGCTCCTCCAGGACAGCCAACAGCACCAGTTCTTGCTCTCCTGTTCTCCTTTCTATGCTGTTCCCAACAATGCTCAGGTGGGCCTCCGACACCCAGCACCATGATGACTCAGTTTAGCTGGGTGTTACAAGTTGCCTAGCAGTTGCCAATCCACTACAGTGTGGTATGCGTAGCAGTTTTATATATAGGTCACATCAAGCCCATGATTTTACAAATACTATTGCTTAGGATAAGACCAGACAGTGCAAATGTAGCTGTTTTGGACAGTGAATTGATTTAAATAAAAATATTAAATAATAGTGTTTCAAATGATAATTATGGGAAAACTATCTATGGAAAAACTATGAAGTGGTCTTTTATGTCTTTTCACTGTGTTTATGTCATGTTTATCACTAAAAATGTTCTTGTGAATTAGAAAATAAAGTCCAGAAAAACACTGGGACTTATTCAAGTCACTTAGCTACTGGAGCTAAAGGATTAAAGCGAAGGCATTTATGTCTCTTTCTGTGACTGAACCTCAAAAGTGAGTGCATGGCTTGTTTTTTAACACCTCACCTCATGTCCTCTACAAGATTTGCTTTTGATTTCTACATTCAATCCTTCACCTGGAGAAAAACAAAAGGGGCATTGGGGTGAATTTTTGTTTGCCTAGATGTTTATAAATAATGCAAGGAAAAGAAACCAATTTCTTCCTGGCTGAGTGAAACATTAATTCTTCACCTTGGCACTTCAGCCTACAGCTGTAATAAGGCCTTTATGCTCAAATAGGCCTTTAAACGGAAGACCTGCTGAGCAGAGACCCACTTTCCCAGCCCTGCTCAACCATGTTGTCTTTTCTGCCAACTGACCAGGCGGAAGCAGCAGGAGGACAGGGGAGACTGCAGGTAGGTGGGAGCAGATCATTTTGAAAGCCTTAAATCCCTTGCAGTGAAGAAGCAGCTGCTCCGTGTTTTTCTAAACATCTGTCCCATCTGTCCACCTATCCCTGGCTGTACCTGAGCCCTTCGAGGCTCAGGATAGTTAAAATGTGGGTCTGAAGAGAAATCGCTTCTGAAAACTGGATTGAAATGGACATAAATGCCTCCAGAAAGTTTGGACTGTGGAAAAGAGGGCAGATGCAGGCTCTTAATGAGAATAGCTATTCCTTTAATTTTCTAGGAGACATAAGGCTTTAAAGGGTAGAATCTGGGTTTATAACATCGCCCAAATTGGGCTGTATGCCCCAGGGTATTGTTTCACAAGATCTTAGATGCCCCTAACCATTCAGTACACGTTACAAATTAACCTCCAGGCCCGATACAAGCCACTGATTTAAAAGAGTAATAAAGATACTGACACCAGACACCACATCAGCTTTGCAGCACAACCAGCTCCACTCCTGATGTACGCCTGGAAATTAACAGCGTGTGCCTCGCGAAAATGACGGTTTTAATTTCGCCCAGTTTTCCCTAGTATTCAGAAAGGCGGCTGGAACCTACCAGTCATAAAATAGGGATTATACATTAATATCGAAGTAAAAAATCAAGGGATTGGGACTTCTTATTTGGTGCTCTAGAGGCGGGTATGGGAGACACCCCACCGCGGCGCAGCAGCGCACGGGTCGCGCGTGCGCAGCCCCCAGCCACGCCCCTTCCCTGGATCCGGGAAGCGGCCCCGTTCCAATTACGGGATTGGCGAGACCAGCCGAGCGCAGGCGCAACGGGAGGCGGAAGTAGGAACTGGGGAAGGAACGAGGGAAGGGCTTCGCCCGGTTTCGCCGAGTGCGCGGCGCTCCTCCTCCTCCTCCCGCGGAAGAGGCGGGCGCCCGCGTTCGCAGGCTCCTCCCCGCCCCGCCCCTCCCCTGCCCCGCAGCCGCGGGCGGCTACCTTCTGCGCCCGCCGAGATGGCGCTCGACCCCGCAGGTACGGGAGCGGGCGGCGCGGTTTGCCGAGTGCCTGGGCCTGGCCCTCGCGTCGCGGGCCTCCCACTGATTGTCACTTGGGAAGGGCGCAGAGCTCTGAGGTTGCGGGGCTTCCGCCGACATCACCTCACCCGGGGCTGGCTACTTTAGGGTTTCCTGCCGACCTTGGCTTCTTCCTCCGCACAGGTCGTCTTGCCCGTCGGGGTTAGTGCCAGGCGAGGGGCGTTGGGTTTGTGGTCTAGACGCTCGTCCGTTTGTGGCTTACAGAAGATCTTCCTCCGTTGAGCAACTAGCGTCGTCATTGCCTTCTTTCTGCCCCTAGGTCACAGATGCCTTTAAACCGTGTCACAGACATTCCCGCTCCAGAAGGGTTTCCATTCCTGCCAGTGCGGTGCACAATATTACTTTTTTATTTTTCCGGTAGTTCAGGGGCCCTACGTTCATCCTTGTAACCCAGTTTAATAGTTTCAAGGATCTGTCACTGTAGCAAGAGTCAGTTATTTTGGAAAGTTATCTCCTGAATCGTGAATGTTATTGTAAGTGTGTCTGCACTCTTGCTTTAGAGAGTTGCAGTAGAAAGCAGTTTGCAGTAGAGATCAATTCCTCGTGAATTTTTGCACAAATTCATCCACATTTTTTTTTTTAAACTGAGTATATTGGTGTAGAACAGTTTTTCCTTTTTTAGTCTAGGGTCTCACTACGCAGCTCGGACTGGTAGTGATCCTCCTGTTTTCAGCCTCCCCAGCGCTAGGATTACAGGTGTGCCCCACTGTGCCAGGGTCTGTGGCCAGCTCAGCGCGCCTGGGGGCAGGGCCGGCGCGCAGCATATGGTGTCGGGCTTGGAACACTGGTCCCTGCGCTTGCATAAGTAGGCACTTAGTCTGCTGAGCTGTCTTGCCGACCCTGAACCTCAGTTTTGGAGGGAAAATAAATGTGAAAGAAGGAACAGGTTTAGTCCATTCCTTTCATTTTATGGGGTGAAAAACTCATGGATGGTTTTAAGTTTTGGAGTCAAAAATTGCTTTTTGGGTCCTCCAGAAGTTTGAAAAATGTATATAAAACATAAATGATATGTTTGTGGAATAGTTTATGATCAAACTTAGTATTTGGAATTATATAAACATAGTAAGTGGTATGACAGATTCTTTCATCTAGGTTTTGCAGATTGCAGAGTTGAGCCTCAGAGACAGTAAGTTAATCTAAGTAGATAGAGTGCTCTTAATTTGAAGCATGAAGGAACTTGAGAATTCATAATGATTCTGTCAGCTTTGGGCTAGGTGTTTGGTTCAGGCAGCAATTAATCTAGCTTTGAAGGGTGTAATTTCCAATGGTTTGATCTGGGAGAGGCATGAGCAAAGGTCTTGCTAGTAAGTCGCACTGTCATATTTGGCTTGAGGTTGTTTGATTCATAGAGGAAAAAGGGTTGTAAGTAGGGCTACCTAGGGCAAGTCCAGGTTGGGTTTGGTATAACTCTTCTGTTTGTGAACTGGAAGTGATCATTAATCTCACACATACAAGACTGAGCATCAAGAGGTTGAAGACTTCTGTATGTCCATGTTGAATGTAGACAGACAAGAAAATTTAGAAAAGAAAAAGCCTTCATACTTACAGTTGCAACTTTCTTCCAGTTACTCTTTGACTCTAATTTTGTAGCATACCCAAGGCCACATCTGGCTAGAATCCAGGTGATTTCATTTTCAATGTCGTGGCGTAGAGCATGCCACTATTTTAGTATTTGTTAAGCAAAATAACTTGTTGAGGGCCTAGCATATGCCATTATTGTTATATGTCACAAGAAATGGTAGCAGCTGTACCCAATCTCTTTGGCAACAGAAAAGGAACCTTTTTGAAGTTTTGTTTTTATTCATTTTGGCTAAGGTTTAGATGTAGACTTAACCATACCATAACCAAGCCAAGTGCCCACTGGGAAAATGCCACTGATACAAGTCGTAAATCAAATGAGTGGGCCAAGCATGAGCTAGAGGGAGTTTTGAATTCTGACTTAAAAGTTTGCCCCAGTTGCAACTGTGTAATTGAAGAACATCAACTTACTTGTCATTGTACAGCCTGTCACCATTTGCAGCTTAGTTGACACACACCATTCTCTCATACAGTTTGGATATAAGTATGTAAGCAGTTGATTTATGGTGGGCTTTATAGCCAGACCTCTCTGCTAATACTGATCTATATTTTCAGTTGTTCTCCAGCACTAGCATCACCTGCTTAGCTCCACCCCAGACTGTCAGGCATTAAATTCTCATAAGAAGTATGCAACCTAAGTCTCTTCTGTATTCATTTAATAATAGGGTTTGGGCTCCTAGGAGAATCTAATGCTGCCACTGATCTGATAGGATATAGTGCTCAGGTGTCAGTACAAGTGATGGGGAGCAGCATAAATACAGATGAGCTTAGCTGCCTGGCCTGCAGCTTACTTCCTGCTTTACCACCCAGTTTGTTTGTTTGTTTTGCTTGTTTTTTTTCTTTCTTTTTGTATTTAGTACAGGGTCTACAGGGTCTCACCTTCCAGATGGAGCTCATAGTGATCCTCTTGTTTTCAGCCTTCCAAGCACTGGGATTACAGGCATGCACTGTCTGGAATTACAGGCACACACTGTCACACCCAGTTTCAGTCACCTTCTCAGCATGCCCTAGGAGCAGGGCCGGCACAGCACCTAGTTTCTAACAGGCCATGGACTAGTGGTAGTCATGGCCCTCTGTTTGGGGACCCTTGGCAGGTAGGACAAACAAGATGCCTTCTCCCGGTAGGAAGAAAACACTCCTCCCTCACACCCATGTATACACATACACTCAGAGTGTGATAGGCTTTATAAGAAAATAAGCACTGTGATGTGGTAGATTGTGAAGTGAGGATTACTTTAGATAATGAAAGTTCTAGCAGAAAGTATCACTGAAATCTGATGGATGAGAGGGAGTTGCCATGTGAATAGCAAGGGAAAAGTATGGAAATAGCAAATGGTTAAATATTTTTTATTCTAGTTTATTAGTACATATATGTAGTACATAATATTTACATTGTTTATGGGAAGTTGGTACATGCATGCAACACATTTTAATCCTTTTTTTAAAATTTCCTTCCCTTTTCCACCTACCTCTTGATCCATTTTTTTTTTTTTTTTGATCCATCTTTTTTTGTGCAGGTACCAACTCTACACAAAATTGTAAATGTTATGTACTGCAAATGTGAAAATTCTTAAAATATTTGATTGGACTTCAAGCTAGAGTGAGAGGAGATCCCTTAGAAAGATTTAGGAAAGTAGGTAGGAGCAGAGAACCTTGACGTTGCAGAGACTTTTTTTCCCGTGTTGTTATCATAAGGCATTAGGGGCTTTTAAAGAAAGTGATGATGTAACAGAATTGGTTTACCTGTACTATCTTGGTTTCAGTAGCAGTATAGATTATAGAGAGGTCGGGAGTGGAAGCTGGGAAATGGATGGGATTGGTGGTCCGAGCCAAATATGTGTATCTTAGTCTAAGGTGATGTTAGAAAAGATGGAGTGGAATAAAAGTTGCCAGTATGTTTTTTGCAGGACAAATTGGAAGGACCTGCTATTGCCTTAGATCAAGTTGGTGAGAGAAAGGAAAGAATTAAGGATAATTCCTAGGCTTTTACTTCACTGAGTGGATGGTCATGGTCAAATCTAACAACATAAAAGCCATAGGAAAGTTAGACAAAAGTAGGTTCGAAAACAGTGGAAAATAAGAAAGTCAACAGTTGGGAAGATTTTTTTCTTAAATTGCCTTTGTTGCTAGGCAGGGTGGTACACACTTATAAACTCAGCACTTGGGAGACAGAGGCAGGAGAATCACTGCAAGTTTGAGGCCAACCTGTACTATATAGAGAGACTGTCTCAAACCCCTCCCCCAAAAAAACCCCAGAATTACCTTTGTCAATATGACTTTCAAAATATAATTATTAAAACAAGCTTTCTAAAAAAATTAAATATTTTTTGTTGGGTTTTGTTGAAAAGTTCATGTTTACATTTGGGTATGTTATGGCATTTTGTAGTCCACAGTAGTATGGTGCCCATACCAAGTAGATGAATAGCTATGTCAAATGAAGTTCATATAGCAAAATCCTGTTTCACATTTGCTTACATTTTTGAGGTCTTTACAAAAGCTTTGATTTTCACTTGGCAGTACCTTTTTTTTGTGGAATAGGGGATTGAACTCAGGCTCTTGTGCTTGCCAGGCAAGCACTTTTTCTGCTGAGCCATCTCCCCAACCCCTTGGCAGCACCTTTTTAATAACTTTGTAGGCACCATCTTTTCTCAGACTCTGAACCCAAAAATGAAATGCATGTACAGGCTACTTATTCTTATGGGTACTTTCACTTGTTGGTCTTTTGGTAATGTAGAGGTAATCGTAACGATCTTTATAAGTTTCTGAGCCATAATTATATTCACTGTTTCCATTACAGTTTGCACAGTGAACAACCTGAAGAATCCAAAACATCTAGGAAAATTGGTTATGAGGAAGGATTAAACTTTTGAAACATGTCTAAGTTGTACTTGTAGATATTTAGACTTAATTTGTCTGGATTAAGGCTAGGCCTCCAGTATTTTAAAATACCTTATGAGCAGTTCTCATGTGCAGACAGAATAGAGGAAAAACAGTGTTTTGAACTTTCCCAATTTATCTTTAAGTTTTTTTTTTCTTTTCCAGCCCAACCCTTATTCTTATAGGAAATTCTCCCTTGTATTTTTTAGCCATAAAGAGGACCTTTGAGCTTATAGTAATGACACGAGAATTACACTATAGCTCTTTCTCCTGTAAGAGAGTAAAAGCATAGTCTTACTCTGTTACAGTTTTTATGAATTTATGGTCCTTTCTATAAGTATTATGTATTTTAAAAATCTAGTCAAACGTAGTAAACTAAAATTTTAGAAGTTTTGAAATTCATGTAAGCCATGATCACTTATAGAAAATGTTAAAGGTGCTTTTTTCTTTTTATTAATTTATTATTTTTATTAGTACATTTTC